GGCTAAGAAAACGAAACTCTTAGATTAGGCCACATGTTTTAATTAAACAAAACAAAGAGGGTAGTTGTGTCGTGAGTGTCCTCTTTAAAGGGCAATTATGTGCTGTCAGTGTATTTTTCTTACTTTCTGTTTGACAATTTATTTTCTTCTGTTAGGTAGGTTATTAATAAGGCCACCTTTCAGTTCTGTAGTTTGTCCCTCTTCTCTTACATTTTGTCATAGGCAGCAAGCAGCAGCCAGGGAATACTTTTTGTATTTTATCCAGACATTTCCTTATCTAGATCACCTAGTTTTTTGGGTACATTTCCTGTTTTCCATGTTACAATGGCATCAGTGTTGCCAGACTTTCCACCACTACATACAAGGGTCCCCTTTTCTCCCACTCCCAATTACATTTTTTTTTTAACTCTCCTTTAGCCCTCACTGAAAGCATCCTTGAGACTCTAGGCTTCTGCTAACATTTTCTGCAAGGCCCTTTAGATTCATGAACAGTCTCCTCAAGGCCCTTCTAGCCAGTGCCATGTTTTGGATTTATTTTTATTTTGGTACTTCTACTTCCAGACACTAGTACTATTGTCACATAACATACATCATGGCCAAGTTTAGAGGCTTAGAATAATTATTATCTCTCATGGGTTTGGGGCCACAAATTTGGAAACATCTCATTTGGGCAGTCCAGCTTGGGATCTCTCATGCAGTTACAGTGACATGGTGGGACACAGGGGTGGGGGCGGTGGTGCAGCTGAAGCCTGGCCAGACATCTCTCTCTGTTCATGTGGTCTCAGAACTTCTACACATGCTTTCTCCGTGTGGGATACTTTAGGCTTCCTCATTATGTAGCAGCCTCAGGGAAGTCAGATTGCTCCCACGCTGGCGCAAGGCTCCGGTATGAGTATTCCAGGGATCAAGGCAGGACTTTCATTTCTGCTCATTGCCTTTTCTGATCTAGCCTTGGAAGTCACAAAGTATCATCCTTATTGCATTCTGTTGATTATAAGTGAGTTACAAATCTGCCCAGATTAAGAAGAGAATTAAACTCTACAAGGCAAGGTTCTGGAATAACATGAGAAGGATCTATTGTTATGGCCATCTTTGGAAAATAAAATCTGTTACAGGGAATGAAGAATGAAGATAAAGGAAAATAAGTAAGTACTGCATGGACCAACGCTGAAGGTGAGCCACGAACTGAGGTGTGTCTAACTGAACGCTCTGCAATTGAGTTCCATTTCAACACACATATCCCAGCAACCCGGTCCTCCCTGACACCAACACCCAACCAGCCACAGTGGTTTCCTCACAAAGGACCAACTACAGGCTTCCTCTAATCATTCAAGTGGGCCTGGGTTCTATGCTTCTAGCTTACACTCAGCTGCCATTTTAATTATCATGTTAATTAGCTGTTTAACCTCTGCTGTTATTCTTGCTTGGACCTGCAAGTCTCCAAAGCACTCACCCTCTTTCTACATTTGCTCCACCCTAATCTATTCACACAACAGCCAGAGGATTTCTTTTAATGCTTATTGGACATCTCAAAACCTGCTTACAATGATTTTAGGGCCTCAATTGATCTTGCTCTGCCCATCTCTGAACCTTACCCCCTACCAGTCCTCTTTGCTCACTAAGCTCTATTGACACTAGCCTTAGGATTCCTAGACATGAAGTTCATTCTCACCTCAGGGCCTGTGCACTCGGGTCCTCTGCTTGGAACCGCCGCCCTGCGTATCTTCTGTCGCATAGCCCCTATCACTTGTTTCAGGCCCCTGCTCGATTATTACCTTCTGCGGTCTTCTCTCAACACTGCATTCTAAATACCACTCTCCTCCACCCTCCTCAAATCCTTACCCTGTTTTATTCTTCTTCATAGGAACTGCCGTCAGCTTATATACAGTATTGTTTATGTCTAACTAGATTTTAAACGCCATGAAGGCAGATTTAGTATTACTCACTATAGTGTTCTCAGGGCTTAAAACAGTCCCTAACACATGGCAGGAACTTAAATCATTTTTTAATAAATTGAACTCTACATTTTTAAAATGGAGAAAAATCAGGTGGCAAAAGCCCTCTTAAGCTTGCTATGATTAGTGGTATACTCAGGTCACTTCTGTTTCTATAGATTCTATCCAGATGCCACTGCCAAAATTAAATATGCTAAGTATCAATATTATAGATATTTAAAAAATTCATTTGTAGGGATCAGGCGTGGTGGCTCACGCCTATAATCCCAGCACTTTAGGAGGCTGAGGGAGGAGGATAGCTTGAGGCCAGGAGTTCAAGACTCATCTGGGCAACACAGTGAGACTCTGTCTCTACCCGAAAAATAAAGAAAAATTAGCTGGGCATAAAAAATTCATTTGTTGACTCAAAGAAACAGCTGATTTATATCTGTATTATTAGTTTACACCAATCCTTAAAGAACCTACTCCTATTAAGTATTTTGATATGTCTTCAAGTCCGTAGGCATTTAATTCAAGTCACAAAACATGGGTCATTGTCTAAACTTTTAGGACCGCAAATTTCAAACCAATTCTCCTGAAAATCTGCATTGGTCAAAGTAGAAGGCATATATGTAGATGCATAAACAAGTCATAAATCTAACCAGAAACTTACTGCCTCAGGATACTCTAAACACTTTGTCTTTCTTCCCACATCTGATTTGTGTACTCAGGAGAACTTTTAATCAGACATTCTGGATCACTCGTTTTTCATTATGGTCGGTAACATTTCCAATCTAATTCACGAGTCCTAGCCAACAGATTCTTTCACAGAATGTAATCATTTTGGTCTCCATATATAAACAGCCCAGACATTATGAAGATATGCCAAAAAAAAAAAAAAATTGAAAAAAAAAACAGCACTGTGAAATGGGAGAAATGAAAACTTAAAAATCATTAAGAAATCGATGACTGAATCTTTGTGCTGATTTATCAAGTTGAGTAACTGTATTACTTATACTTTGGTTTACCAAAAGTCATCACACTTGTCACTTTAAGAAAGATTTTAATCATTTCTATCCCAAAGATTTGAGAAGGTAGGATTTAAGATCCAAGTAAGCCTTTCTTCTTGTTTCCTGGGACTTCATTCAGTCATTGATGCAATGATGATAAAATAGGGGTTGAAGAGTTGCCTTAATGATGTATTTAAGTCAGTATTCATAAAGAGGATCAATTTAGTTAACACTACCTTCTCCAATCCACAAAACCATGACCTTAATACACAGAAATTCTGTTTTATTTTTGGAATTTACATATTTTAAAAGAACAATTTCTTCTTATTCTTGTTATTCTAATATTACTACCACTTAGAACATTAAATGAAGATATTTTCACTTATGATAGTTGAAATCAAAACTTTGTGAAGCTAAAGCAATGAATAATCTTCAATTTAACAAGATTCTCGGATACCTGAGAATTATATTTTCCATTCTGTATTAAGAAGCACAACATTCAAAACTATCACAAAAATTCAGACACTTTAGTTCCTTAGCTAATAAAAATTGATGCATTTGGTATTTTCTACTTCATTTTAATTTGAAAAAGCACATGTATGTTAAAATAGTTTTAATACAAATGAGTTATAAATGTAAATTTAAAAATCAGACTTTGTATGGTCAGTTGGAGATGTTTAAAACATTCAGCACACACTTTTCTCTTTTTATAAATTCTTAGATAAGAAAGCACAAGTTTTTGGACTTTTCATTTGGCAACTGATCTCAATTTAAGACTAAATTAGACTCCTTCCCCCACCAAAAACAAAAACAAAACCCAGTTTTTCTCAATAACTATAGAAGTGGTTCCTGCTCTTAAAATACTTCCTTTTCAATTTCATAAATATTTATTCTAATATTTATTGCTAGTAATATAAGGAATGCCTCTTGTTGATATCCAATGTGTTTTTAAAAACTTTAGCACGAATTCTAGTATCAAACATAGAGAATACAGGCAGCAATCTTATTCATGTATTCTTAAAAAAAAGTTCTTAAATGCCATTTTTTACAATATTCTACATTTGATCTTTCTAAGAAGTACAATTTTTAACGTCTCTAAAATCAGGGTGTGCCCTATAATTGATGTCAGCTCACCATCAGCAGCTTGGCCTTGGACTCCTGTAGTCACTAGCTCTTAATACTTTCCTGTTCCATGAGGAGCCATGCTCCACCCCCAGTTTTCCCAGCCCTTCTCCCAGCCTGGTCTGCACAGTCCCTGTAGCCCGTGTTCTCTTCTCAGCTGAGCCCAAGCCTGGCACCTTGAACTGCAAACTGAGGGCTTTTAAAGCAGACAAGCATGCTGCAGGTCAGGGTGAAAAGCTGCATCATGATCCAGTTCTGATAATGGTTACAGGCTCTGGGCTGAGTGGAGGACAGCTAAAGGATTCAGAAAAAAGTATGTGTCGGACTTGGCGTTGCTGCAGTGCTCTGTGGAAGTACCTTATAAATAGCATCTTAAATCTGATGAAATACAATAATTAAAAGTTACAGCCCAAATCTATATTTGTATCTTTGTGGTTAAAAATTACCTATAGGCAAGAATTTTACCTAAAGTATTCATAGTCCTCTGTGGGTCCCTCATAATTAATAAGCAAAAAACACACCATAAACCGGCCCCTGTCCATAGACCTCCCTTGCACGCCACCCTCTGCAATGAGAAATCCCTCCATTTGTCTATTTTTGATAATTTAACTGTAGAATGTAATATTCTGGAAAAGCAAAACTAAATATAATCAGGTGCTCCAACTTTTATTTTCTTACAAAATACTACAGAAATGAACCCAAACTAAACAGATATGTATATGTATATATGTACAAAATTTTACTTCTGAAAAAGGATCTATAAAAGTAGATGGTTAAAAAAAAACAAAGAAAAACTTAAAAAGATTTAAAACTAGTACTATGAAATTGATTTTCTTAAAGGAAAGTAGTAGTAATTTAATTGCTGGTTGTAGTTAGTTTTCTAGGCTTATTTACACATTTGATTGTGGTTAGATATATAAAGGAGTTTCTTTAATTTCAGAGTATCTTCAGTCTCATTTTATTATATCAAATGTCTAAAATTTTTTTCCCTTCACAAATATTTCAATGTGCGGACAAGGCATGTTAAATTACAAATCAACTTCGGTCATCTTCTTCCTCTTGAGTCACAGGCCTGAAAGGCAATGTAGTTTGTCCTCTTTCGGGATCAGACATTCGAAGAATTCTTATCAGTTTGCTTGAAGGAAGTGAGCTAGAGAAAACAAAGTTAATTACTCAAATTTCCAGGAATGTTTTTACCCATTAAAAAAAATTCTAACACTACTTCATGAAAATATAAATCTAAATGGCCGTTACCTGCTAATAGTGGGATATGTCTAATACGTAGAGTTCTAGGAGAATTATTATTTGCAATAAGAAAATAGTTTGTTTTCATTTTTAAAAATTAACTTCCTGGTAGATCCCATGGGTATTTGAGTTTGAAGGAAAATATAATGAAGATTTATATATCAACTATTTTTAACTCTGGTTCTGATCTAACAAGGAAAGAGTTACCCGAATATTCCCAATAGCAAATTTAAATTCCCATATGATCACATGACCGCTTTAGAGGCAGAATATTAACTCTAAGTAACATAATGCCTGACATTGTAGGTACTCAATAAATGCTGATTGACAGCAGAGTAGAGCTCTTTGTTTAGAAAGACTGGTATTTGTAAGTCATCAAGAAAAGAGCCACAATGAGGGGAACCATGAATCGTTTCTTCTGTCCGAACAGAATTACTAAATTACTTTATGTTAGTTGGTCATAATAACCGCAAAGGAGCAGATTTGAAATAGAAATAGTAACAAGTTGGCTGGGCATGATGGCTCACGCCTGTAATCCTAGCACTCTGGGGGCTGAGCTGGGAGGATCCCTTGAGCTCAGGAGTTTGGGATCAGCCTGAGCAAGATCCTATCTCTACTAAAAGTAGAAAACATTACACAGGCATGGTGGCTTGTGCCTAGTCCTAGCTACTCAGGAGGCTGAGGCAAGAGGATCACTTGAGCTCAGGAATTTGAGGTTACAGTGAGCTATGATGATGCCACTGCACTCTGCCAAGGGCAACAGAGTGAGACTCTTATCTCAAAAAAAGGAAAAGAAATAGTAACAAGTCAATAATCATATTCCAGTCAACTTGCTTCAGTTATGTAAGGGAAATAATACAAGTAAAGTTTTGAAGATCTTGAAAAGGAAAAATCATCATAAATCTCCTGAACTAGTGCAAGGAGCTCATTTTTCTTTTCATTGGTCATTTATGTATCTATAGTTTAAAAATTTAAATTATGAAAGATTTCTTTTCTGTTTTTATATGCTTGAGATCAATCACATAAAGTTTTAAAAAATTACCTCATGCTTTGAGGGGTAAGCAAGATAAATTGTCTAAAACGCTGGGAATCTGCCATCTTAAGTATCATGTCCATGGCAATTCTTCTGTTAACCATATCCTGAAGAACAAAGGCAAAAGTTAGGATTGCTGTTGTGTAAATCAATTTCTGTAAAAGCAGCATTCTGCTGGCTGATACAAACCCCTGGATTTTCATCCAGGGATTACCCATTACCTTATCTGTGATAGCCAAAGAGTTTATATAGGAAAAGATAATATCGGAAATGATTATGGGACAATAACTAAATAAATATATCTTCCAGGTGATTTCTATAGTCAAAGTATTTATATGCATGGCCCCCTCCCTCAAATACATGTAGCAATTAAAATAATTAGAAAATAGTCAAATGACAAATAAATGTTCCAGACTAAATCTAATTTGTACAGTAATGGTTAATTACTCAGGGAAATGGCAACAAAAGTATCTGGTCTCAAATTCATTAAGTCTCTCATATTTTCCCTCACTGATTCAGGTATTGTAAAAAGGCTACCCCTCCCCATTGCCTCTGTAATTTGTACACTGTAAACCAATTTGAATTTACAGATGAATTTCTTGAACGAATCTTTAAACTAAGTTAAACAGCACATCAAAGTATAGAAAAAGAAAAATGCTTACTTATGATAGGTTTTGAAATTAAATAAATTAGACCTATGCTTATATTTTCTGAGTTAAATAACAGTAAAAAGAAAAAAAAAACAAAGTATTCCTCAACCCTCTTGAAAATTCCTAAATGTTAAAATCATAAACAAATGAATACATACATTTTTAAAGGTCTTATTTGAAACAATATGTGGCAATATAGCATGGTGGTTTAGGACAAGGGCTTTGGAGTCAAAAGGAGACCTTCATCCTTGCTACATTGATCAATGGCTCTGACTATAAAAATTCCACCAGGCATATCTTCCCTGGGAGGCCTATCATTTAATAACAAAGCTGCCAATACACCACAAATTAATTATTTGTTTCCCTTGATTAGCTGTCAGAACTTGGGTACATTCTTCTGAATAATTCACAGGGGCAAAGTGCCACTCTCATTAAGAAACTCTAAGATTATGAAAGAGAAAAAGACCTGTTTAGAATTAAATTGGACATACAAGATAGGCAGTAAGTCTGCATAATGGCATTTTGGACAAGAAGCCTGCAAGGAAAGAATAATTACCTTCCGTGATTTGTGAATTAGCTTTGAAGATGATTCTCTGAGGAATTTCTAAACCATCTTCAGCGATGGTATCATAGAAAAAAGTCTGGGATTCTGGACAAGAGGCCACAGGCACGAGGTGAGGAGAAGGAGGTGGGAGCAACAGAATCTCAGTGAGGAAGGAGAAGAGGGCAGAGACTAAAGAGAGGTCTTAAGAGCAGAGGTCAGACTTAAAGAAGGAAGAATCACAGATAAATTACACGTTTTGAAGTTAGGTGATTGGGTTGGTAATGACAGTTTGCCATTAATCAAGGTAGGGAATTCAGGAAAAGGAGGAGGCTGTGAGAGGAAGACATCTTCACTCTCACCCCTGCTGAGTTGGAGATTCTGGTTGTTTACTGGGTGAGGGTGATGTCTAATAGGGAGTAGGGCACAGGGTCTTGAGTACAAGAGAGGTGTCAGGATGAGGTGCTTCGAGTGGGCAGGTATCCATCCATATGCAGGTAGTAGTTCTGGGGACTGTGTATCTGTGTGTGTGCGGGGGTAGGTAGGGTATAGAATCCAGGAAATCAACAACAGCATAACAGGCAAACAAAGAAGACCTCAAACATCCAAGGGCAATATAATTAAGGGAGGCAGCTTGACAGTTTGGGAACAAAGAGTAGGACACAGGAAAACCAGGGAAGAGGAGGGCGGGAGCTGGTAAGAAGATACATTTTAGAGATGGAAGACAGGTCTATGGTGCCAAATACTCCAAAGGAATAAAGTAAGACTAAAAGAAAGCTCATTTTTATGACCTTTTGTTGAAGTATTGTAGTCTACACACATATTACAGTGGATTTAGGAAAAGATGAGACAAGAAGAAGTAAAGAAAATGGTTCCTTGCTAATTTATGAGGACTTACTATGTGCCTATACCACAGTAAGTGTATTACATGAAAGACATCATTTGAGCCTCACTCTAACCCTATGAGGTAGGAAGTACTGATAACCTTGTTTTATAAATAAAGAAACTGAGACTCAGAAGGATAAATATTTTGCCTAAAGTCATCTGGGTAACTGGTACAGATATCAGTCTCAAATCCTAGGCTTTTTAATCTCCAAGTCAAAAGCTCTTGCTTCCTATGTTCTATGCACTGCTCTTCTAGAAAGTGTGGCCGGGAGGGAAGGGACAGCACACAGCAGCGAGGGGAGTGAAAGCAAGGGTGGCGAACTAATACTCTGTTAAAACAAAAGAGCTTGAGTGTGTTAAAGGGCTGAGGAAAATAAGCTAGGAAAGAGGCTGGAGGAGAAAAAGCCTATCTGACAGAGAGTAAGGGCGTCCACACTGGGAGAGAGGAGGATGGAACCCAGCGCAGGGTCTCTAGAGGCACCGTGTGTAGTAAGCAAGGGCGAGAACTCAAGCTCTCCAGTTCTTCCCTACCACTGATCGCAGACTAAAGTGTCAGGGCAGGATCTTTCTGTATGGGTAAAACTAAAGAAAGATTTGCTTCCTTTCAAAATGTATGTTTCAAACAAACAAACAAAATTTAGGGAATTTAAAATTTAACACTACCATGTAAACATCAAACTCATCCAGGCATCTGAAAGGAGATTCGGCAATGGACCACAGGGAGAGAATGAAGCACACCGTGGAGAAGGAACGTTCACCTCCGGACAAGGCTCTCATGTCATTGAAGGCGGCTTTATTTCCCTCTCCAGGCTGAACCTTGAAGAGAATGAGTTGACAAGGAACAAAAAACTAAATACGGAAAAAGATTAAATTCTTTTCAACACAGGTAAAGAAAGAATGGGTTTACAATAAAAAATAAATAAATAAATAAGAATAAAATGATTTAGTGACATGGAAATGATATTTATTCCATTCAAAATATTTTATAGTAACCGTAACATCTACGTAATGGTGTTTTTGTTTTAATGCAAGAGAATAACTTGAAATTCTTTCTCATATCTGAATATAGCACACCAAAATTCCAAAGGCTTAATGATATGTGGATATTATTCAAACATTTTGATCAAAATAAATAAGTTAAACTACTTCTGAAACTGAGTTTCAAATACCTGAAAGTGCTGAGATAATTTTTTGTTACTTGAATTACAGCGACATCTAGTGGTTAAGTTGCTTTAAAAGTAATTTTGAATGTCAAAAGGACAAAGGACCAACTTGAAGAAGCTTACACTGGCTAAAGAATGGATTGAAACACATTAAAAAACTTTTAAAAAATTCTTCTTTACTAAATAAAGGTCCAGGAGAACAATAAAAAATCAATTAATAAAATAATAACAAATATTTCACACAATTTCCTGAGAAGATAATATAAAGTAACATTAGGAAGGATTCCATTTCATTTCGACAGAATTCCAGATATACATATATGTAGACAAGGTGAAAAAACAGCACCAACCAGTTTTATATCAAATAACAGACATGTAGCTCCCAATATTCCAATTCACTATTTGAAAAATTATGTTGCTTTCAAGTGAGCATTCATTTATTTTTTAATATTCTAAGGGTTACAAAAATTCTGAATTTAAACATATACTGAAACTTTATATCTACCAGTTATAAGTCTGAATGCTCTATAAAAAACCAAATGAAAAAACATTAGCATAAGCAATAAAAAACCAAACCAAACAACAACCAACCAAATAAAAATCCCCAAATAAAAGCAAGAACTAAATACCAAGATGCAATCTTTTGCTCCAAAACTACATTTTGCATCAATCTAATAAATGAAGCCCTACCTAAATTATGGAGATCTTTTACCTCTCATCTATTACTAACTCAACATGAGACTTCAGTGTCAAGTTTATCAGTAAAATAAAGAGCAGATAACTTAAAAGATTCTTACAGCAATAATATTCTTTTGAATAACAGGGATGATAACATCAGAAAGTCTAACTTGAGTTGTCTTGTACAGTTAGCTCGGGGATAAATTATTCAAGCACTCCCAATACTTTCTTCACCCCCCCATTTTTATTAGAGTATAATTTAAATACAGTAAAGAACACAAAACTTAAGTGTATACCTCAAATAATATTTATACACACACCCTGGGTGACCACTACTGAGATCAAGACATAGAACATTCCCAGCAGCTCAGCAAACTCCCTGTATCATTACTATCCCCCAAAAGGTAACCAATATTCTGTCTTTAATCACTGTAGACTAATTTCACCAGTTTTTGAACTTCACACATGCATACAGTATGTATATGTACACATACATACAGATACACTCTTTCGTGTGGCTTCTTTCACTCACCATTGTCAGTTCATCTATGTTTATCTATTTGACTCTACAAAGACATTGGAGTTGCTCAGTTTTTGGCTATTATGAATAAAGCTCCTATTAACATTTTCAAATACACCTTTTTGAGGACATAAGCACTCATTTTTCTTATGTTTTACTCAAGAGGGGAACTGCTTTAACAGACACTGACAGGTTTCCAAACTAGTTGTACCAATTATACTCCCACCAGCACTATAACAGCATTCTAATACATCCTTACCAAACAAGATATCACCAATCTTGTTCATTTTAGTCATCCTAACAGGGTGTGACAGTAACTTATTGTGGTATAAATTTGTATCTCTCTGATGATTAGCAATTCTGAGTACTTTTTCGTGTGCTTATTCATCATTTGAATACCTTAATTTATAAGGGTTCTGTTTAAGTCTTTTGACCATTTTTATTATAAATATGTTGTCAGTCTCTTTCTTAATATTTATTATTTTTTAAAAATTCTAGACTTGAGTGCTTTGCTGTATATGTGCATTGCAAATATCTTTTCTCAGTTTGATGAAGAGAAGTTCTTAATTTTAATAAAGTCCAAATTATCAATCTTTTCTTTGGAGTAGGTTATTGCTTTTTGTGTCTTATTTTAAAATCTTCATGATAGAACGTGAGGACATTCTCTTCCAGAAGCTTTACTGTTTCACATTTAGGTCTCTGATCAATGTCTAAATTAATTTTTGTACATAATGTAATAAGGTAGGGGGGTCAAAGTTTATTTGCTATTTATTTCACCAAAAGAATATCAAGCAATTTGAACCTAATACATTCAGAAGACGACTGCCCTTTTTCCACAGGCTTGCAGTGGAGTCTTTTGTCATTAATCAGGTAACAGTATTATGTGTGGTCTGCCTTGGGGACTCTATTCTGTTTCATTGCTATTGTACATTTGTTTTCTATTCTCCAATTTCTGCTCTTATATCTTCATTATATCCTTCTTTCTACTTGAGTTTATAATTCGCTTTTCTTTTTCTGGCTTCCTGATAGAACTTGGATCATCAATGTTCAGCCGTCCTTTTGTACTAATGTATGTATTTAGAGCCATAAATTCTCTTCTGAGAAATCCTATGGCTGTATCTTACAAGTTTTATTTTTATTGTTGTTTGGTTCAAAATTATCTTCTAATTCCCATGTGATTTGTTTTTTCACCTATGGATTATTTAGAAATATGCTCCTTAATTTTCTAACATTTGGGAAATTTTAGGTTACCTTTGGTTATTCCTAATTTCATTCAACTCTATAATATATTCTATATGATATCAATCCTTTGAAATTTACCAAGATTTGTATTATGGCCAGGAAAATGGTCTATTTTGGTAAATGTTCCACATGTTCTTCAAAACAATCTACAATCTGTGGTACTTTTGAACAGTGTTCTATAGTGCTGCCAATCAGGTCAATTTGGTTAATTGTGTAATTTAAATTTTCTATAGCCTTATTGACTTTTAATCTGATTGTTCCACCAATTACTGAGAAGTTTGTTAAAATTTCCAACTATAAATTGTTAATGCTTCTACTTTGCCTTTTGTTTCTTGGCTTTTATGTATTTTGAAGCTATGTTATTAGGTGCATACAAATTAAAATATCTTTTGAAATAACTTTTATCATCATGAAATGCCCCTTTTGGTCTCTCGTAATATTTCTTGCATAAAGTCTATTTTGTTTG